TGTTTAATGTGTGAAATCAGTCACGTATTATGAAATTATATGGTATAAGGTTATAATAATGTATTGTGGAGAAATAAAAATATTGACCGATAAGAGTAATGTATAATAAATAAGAATATTGACTAATTTATTGTTAGAGAAATATAAGGTAAGTTATATGATATAATGTTATTGTACAATATTGTTAGAGAAATATAAGAAAAGATAAAAAAAAATGTTAGTATAATGAAAGGGTCCAAACAACTTTTTTAAGTAGATTTATTTAGACTCCTTCTCTTTTAATAGTATAGATTTGATGAGATAATTTCACCCTCAATGATAGTCAGGCACCAAAACTCTACTTTACATTGACTTTTACAATCTACCAAGCAAATAGGCTTAAGTGGTCACTGATGAAATGATTAAACCAGAAACAAGAGTTTTATCTTAATCAACCTTGAAAACTCATACATGTTCAATGAATCTACATTCCATGTTGATTGGTGATTTTGTCCTTATTTACTTGTTGCAGTTTAATTTATTATATACTTTGTTAAATTAATGGAATAAAAAATTTGGGGGCAAGTAGATGTTCATGTCTATGACTTAGCGTAAGAATAAAACTATATAGCAGGGTAACAATATGGGGAGTATATTTCTTTGTCGCCATCACAATTTATTATCTTGATTTTCCATCGCTTTTTCTCCGAATAAAACACGTACGAAAGGCTGATCAGAATCGATTCTTTAGATAGTTGCACCGCGCACTTCATTTTTTTTGTTGTTGGCATAAAATTCATTTATCCACGATTATATTCCGTTAACACGTATGGAAGACAAGTTTTAACTTTTAAGTGAGACATCTGAGATAATCTTTCCGTCAAAAGTTTACTTAAGGTTACCGTGAAGGACATACTTAGTTGGTATCACATGAATCTGGAAAAAATCAAGACCAGCTTTCCAATGTCACAAAAAACATGTTAGAAGTGACACAACTTTGTAACGCTTGGATCCAGTTATATAATCTAACGTATCCTTCTGGTTACTGGATATCGTAGACTTAACTTAATACAAGTTTCTGTTGTTAACTTGGCTTTCAAGAAGTGATTCAATCTTTTACCAAAAAAACACTTGGCTTTCAATAAGTGGTTTACTCTGGTTACAAGAAACCCAATAAACCGAGCCTGTTTACATATGAAAAAGACAAGGAAAAAAAATTAAGTTTAGATGGGCTAAGCTGCAAAAAGCATCGTGGGAATAATCTCTTATCATTTACGTTTTTGCAAAGGTTGTTGACCAGTTAAGAGTTGTGGCCCAGAGTTGTTTGTAATGAACTGTTGTCTGCTATTTGGGCCCTATAGTAAGTAAAGACACATTCCTTAAAATACTGGGAGATTTGGCAATTAATAATCAAATCTACTGTAAGAAAAGTTAGAAATCGCACTAGATGTGCTACCGTATGTAGGGACAGGGCACGATCTCATACCATAGTCCATAGAATCGATATATTTCAAATAAAAAATATTAATTCAAAAGAATATGTAGTTTCAGAAAGTGACCTAACCTAACCACAATAGAAATGAATTCGTATAAAAAAACTTTACTTACTAAAATTTTGAATTATAAAAAGCAAAACAGGTTAAAATCTTAACATAACAAGTACGAAAATTTTATTTAGAGAAATATATGTATGAATTAGTATTTTGCTTCCCTATTTTAATTGTTTAAAACTCTACTATAAATCTCAGCCTTAAAAACATGGTGTGTGCAAATGGTTAACCTAGTTGCTGACAAGTTTTGGCATTTATACATTAATAATGATATTTAATTCTCATTAACTCATGAGAGTGGGTGAACAAATATACTACCGTAGAGACGAGAGAGAGAGAGAGATAAAGTAGTAGTAAAAATAATAAAATTTATTTGGGGACAGAAAAGTTTTGGCTTTTGCGGCTAATGGAGAAACAGTAACACGTAGAGCGCACTCCCGTGGTCCGTAGATAAATTAAATTTCTTTTATCATAAATTTTAATTAAATAACTAGATTTCGACCCGCACAACCGTGCGGGTATATTAATACGAAAATATTTGAAATTATATAATAAATTTTATCAATAAATAAATATAATTTGATCTTGTATGCTATCCAATTTTATAATAATTTTTATGTGACTTATAATATTATTAATATAAAATTTATAAATTTCTATTTGTAACAATTTTTAAAAACATTATTATGTAACATTACTAATTTATATATTTGTTTTATTTCTAAATTCAAAATATATGTAAAAAGTAAATTAAGTTGGACCTACATAATACATAAACAAAGCTTTGGGATATTGTTAAAAGTATTTTACATAATTTTAATTTTTGTTTATAAATGAAAATGAATTAAAAATTTAATTATATTTTATGATCATTTAAAATTTTAATCAAATAATTTTTGAAACTATATCTTGAAAAGATTCTAAAAGATTTTTTTTTCTTAAAACTATTTATTTGTATTTCAAACAAAAATTAAAGATATGAAAAAATATTATAATGTTATGTCAAATTTTATAAAATTCTAAGGATAGTCCAAACAAAAATATCATACATGAAATGAGTCATGACTTCTCTTTTAATATAATAGATGTTATTAACCTGTCAATATATATTCCTTTTTAAAGTAGTTTTTGTTTTTTTTTTTTAAATTTTTGCTTGTATTTCAACATTTGTAGTATTTACTTACAACAATCTTATTTATTATTCCCTCCGTTTCATATTATATATTGTTGTAGAATTTTTTTTTCGATTTTTAATACAAAATTTATTAACTTTATTATATAATTCGATATTTAAAAAATCGTTTTTTCGTCAATTCTTTTCGATTTTCAATGCAAAATTTATTAATTTTATTATCTAACTGGATATTGAAAAAAAATCTAGATCTTATTCTGTAAAAAATGCCTTTTACAAAAGAAGAAATGTAATTGGATATTTCCACAATAATAATGCATTTGTGTGTTTATATACTGATTCCAAAATAATTAGAGAAAACTTTAACATAAAGCAAAAGTAAAAAACATTAACAAATAAAAAAAAAAAGCGAAAAAAAAGAAAAAAGAAAAAGAGAAGGAACGTGGCACAATTCCCCGTGCGTGCTTCTTCCTCACCCCCTAGACGCAGACGCAGACGCAGACGCAGACGCAGACGCACCACCACCCACCCCTCAAAAACTCCCCCCCCCTCTCTCTCTCTTCCCCCATCATCTCTCTCTCTCTCTCTCAGATCGATTCTGCTCCGCGCCGATCATCGCTAATCTCCACCGTTCATTCACCGCCGCATGATCCATCTCCCGTACGTATCCATCTCCCCTACGCTCTCCCATCTTTTATTCGTTGGTTTTCACAAAATCGCTGTTGAAATCTCTATCCTTATAACCGAATTGACTTTAAATCTCACGTTGACTTTTTTTCATTTGTTTTCTTGTGTTTGAAATCGCATCCCCCTTGTGTTGTAACAAACTCAGATCTTATTTAAGTTTCTTACGGTTTATTCTCCAATCTCAGATCGATCTTATCAATTAAAGACTCTTTTTTTTTTTTTTATAATTGCAGGAAATAAGAGATATTATTATGGGTTCAGTTTGTTGCGTAGCTGTTAAAGACAGGAAGGTTCCTCCACCTCCTAGTAGTAGTAGCGCCGCCGCCCACGCTGCTTCCTCTCTTCATCGTAACTCAGCTTGCTCTCCTCAATGGAGCTTTCGTCGCGATAATAACAGGAGACGTGTGGCTGATGAGATTGATGGTTCGCCTTATTATAGTCCTTATGTTGGGAGTAGAGGACTTAGTATGGATAAGATGTCTTCTTTGGGGTCTGAGAGAGGGACTCTCTCTGAAGGTGGAACTCCTCCTCCTGATCCTCCGTCGTTTTTGAAATCTGTGGTGGCTACGGAGATTGGATCTAACTCGTTGGTTCCACCTTCTTCAGGTAGCTTTTTTTTACTTGAATTTGTTTGTGGATATGATTTAAAGATGGAAAAGGAGTCTTCTTTGGGTTAATTTCATTATAAAGTTTGTGACTTTTGTTCTATCTTGTAATTGATAAGTTTTTTTTTTTTAGTGTAATCAATCAAGCTTGTGTTTTGTATTATAAGTTTTCTTACTTAGGGTTATATTATAAGCAAAGGTTGTGACTTTTCATTTTTTTCTGTAATCAATCAAGCTTGTGTATTGTATTGTTGCTTTGTCTTATGTTACTCTTTTTCTGTGCTGCAGATTCATCCTTGGCAAGTCATGACAACCCCATCGAGGTGAGATAATTTGCTTTACATTGTTTTGAGCTTGATTTGGGAGGTCATGAGTTTGGGGTGGTTTATCTTGTTTTTTGTGGCTATTTTATGTTTCAGGGGAAGAGTTTAGTTGATTCACCGAGTATTGTTCCATCAGCTCTTCCGAAGCCTTTATTCTCGCCATCTCTTTCAACTCCCGTCTGTGACTTTTCATCGGCTCACACGCGTTTGCTTCCTCCTAAATCCACACCGTCAAGACGTGCTAGGCGTTCACCGGGGCATCAGTTGTTTAGGCAGGTTTCCGATAGTCAGATTCTAGGATTTAAATCCCCTAGTAATAACTACTCAGTCTCTGAAGGAAGGTCATCCTTTAAGCTTTCGACCTGTAGCAATGACTTCGCGAATGGTTCCCATTACGCTTCTTCTGAAGGTGGATGGTCCTTGAACACATTCTCTGAGCTTGTGGCGTATTCTCAGAGGGAGAGATGGTCATTTGATAGTGAACACTTGGGTTCTGGTAGAAGGAAACTTAGTGGTGGTGGTAGCAGCAGATTCTCTTTCTCCCCTTCTGTTGTTGTTGATCAGCAGACTTGTGGAGCTTGCTCGAAGTTACTAACCGAGAGATCTTCTGTTGCTAATTTCGAGCTCCCAATCGCTGCTGTTCTTGCTTGTGGTCATGTTTACCATGCAGAGTGCTTAGAGACCATGACTACTGAGATAGAGAAGTATGATCCTGCTTGTCCCATTTGCACCATTGGGGAGAAACGGGTTGCGAAAATAACAAGGAAAGCCCTAAAGGCGGAGGCTGAAGCGAAGGCAAAGCACTACAAAAGATGTAAAAACCGTGTGGTGGATAGCTATGGTGAGAGTGAGTGTGATGAGTTTATGTTCCAGAAGACAGGGAAAAGAGAAGGAAAAGCTCTGAAGATGGAACCTAGTTCCAGTAGCAAAGGCCCGTCTAAGTCGTTCTTGAAATGGCATTTCGCTTCTCTCAGCTCTAAGTGGAGTAACAACCGCTCTTCCAAAGACTTTGCTTTGAAGAAAGGGTTTTGGTCTAGACATCGTAACAACCGTTCTTCATCAAGCATAGAGGTAAAAGCTTCATTCATCTTCTCATTACTAATTTTAAGAATGGTCTCATAGTAACCGATGGTAAACATTTCAGGGACTTAACCAGACATCTCAGCTTTAAGGAAACCTCTCAGATCAGAGGAATGTGAGGTTATGTAGGAAAGCTTTGTAAAAAAAAAAAACAGAGTGAGCTTCAGCTTTAGCCTTTAGAGCTGCGTCTTTAACTTGTTTCGTTTGGCATGTTTTTTGTGTGTTTCAGTGTAACTTATGGGGATGATTTTTTTTAGTTTATGAAACAAACTTTAATCATTTAGAAAGAATTGATAAAATTTTGCCAGCCATTTACAGGATTCTCTACGTAATTTAATCTCCGTGTTAAACATGTTCTAAAAACATACCGAACTAACAAATATGTTTATGTTTTCACACTTGAAATTTCAAGTAAATGTTTATACCACCATGAAGATTATACACAACATTATAATTATTGCTTACTAAAGTATACGTGTCTAGGCGAAATCTCGGTGAAAGAGACGTGGTCCCTTCGTCTTATCGTTATCTATAGATTGGTTGGGTTGATAAGCTTGAATTTTAATTTGTATCAAGGGTTTAAACGAATTGGACTTTTGAAACATTGCTTATGTAGCCCGATCGTTTGGGACCCGGGATGCGCAAATGTGGCGACCAACAAACAATATTTTGAAATGGATAAAAGAAAATTTTCTTTTATACACACTCTGAATATCAATATATGTTCTTCTCTTCTCAACAAAAATGAAGAAGATTAAGGCAAACAATGATACAGGTATAGCGGATCTCAACTGCAAATCATCATTGTTATTCTGTTTTCTTCATCACCAGTGAAATGTTATCATTTGCGTCCCTTTTGCATCATCCATCTCCGACTTTGTTACTTTGTCCACAATCGTTGGCCAATCTCAGTGATTTCTGTTGGAAGTTGTAGAAAATCATACTCCAAAACTTTGTGAGGCGTTATCTTAATCTGATTTTCATTTTCATTCTAGTGATGGATGAAAATACGTCGGAGAGGTTACATGGTAAACTGAAAGCGGCTTGGTTCTTTTGACCACTAGAGTTTGATGTCAAATTTATAGTGGTCAAAAGAAGAAGAATTGCAACACTGAAGGAAGAATCTATTAAAGTTTATAGACGGATATAATCAAGGCCGGTCCTTATCCATCTGAGGCCCATTCGAATTCAAAAAATGGATCATTTTTCTTTTTTTTTTTAGAAAAAAAAATTTAGTTTAAATCTAAAAGGCCACAAAAAATTTTGGGCTTTAATCAATGGCTTCCTTTACCTATGCCATAAGCTGGACCTGGATACAATACATGTGGTATCAGAATATGAACAAAGTTGAATCATTGATGATGTCATAGAATCTGCTATGGAGGAAATAACGGTTTGGAGTATCTCAAAATATATTTAGATCTTAACTAGGAATTGGTCAATGTTATACAACAAAGGAAACTGATATTTATATCAATTATTTTAAGATACAAGTTTTAGAATTTCACATGGAATGATTGTGTTTGGTAGAACTAGTTAAAAGTAAAATTTAGAAGAAGAAGAGTGTTATTTGATTATTTCTGATCATAGAAATATATTGTCATAGTCTATAATATATTAAAATATAATTATTATATAAATTAAATATGACAAATTATATTAAATTGATAAAGTAACCTATTTGTTTTTAAAAATACTTTCATTTATATAAATTATTATCTACACTAAAACGTGTTAAAGTTTGTTAACGGGTTAAAGTTTGTTAACCACGTAATATTCTTATACAAAAATAAAGTTATTAATATGCGTTAAACTTTTTATTCTACAATTATATATTTTCAAAAAAGATATTTTACAGGAGATTTATTATTTTCAGATTATAGATTTATTGTACCAAACTCGAAAATGTAATAACAATTAATAAAAAAGTAAAATATATAAGCAAATCACAATATATTAATAATTTAATAAGAAATTTAAGCAATAGAATTAAAGAGTTACATAATATATAACACTAAAATAAATATATACATCTAAAATATTTATGATAACATCAAAGTTAAATATTTATAAAATAAAAAATATATTCGCACGAATGTGTGGATCAGTTTCTAGTTTTATTTCATATACCACCCGCTTAATTTCTTACAAGTTACAAAGTATAATCATGATTGAAAATATAAAACATAATTCCAAATAAAATGTATTAATAGAAATTCTCACATTTTAAAAATAATAATTTACTTAAATTTTAAATAATTTTTACTTATATTTTTATTAAGTTTTACTTATATTTTTATATAATTTTATTAAAGTTTATATGTAAACATAATATATATTTATTTGATAATAATAATAATAATTTTTTAAAAAAAATTTAGTGTTGTTTATATAATTTTTATTAATAAATATGTTAAACGAATAATAAGAAATAACTAAATAAATTAAAGAAATATTGTTGCACTACTCTGAGAGCTAATAATTCATGCAAGTGTTGGTGTGTTGAAAGAGCTTGTGATAAAGAAACATGGGAAGTAATAAAAAAAATTTCAAACTCCCAAATAAGGAAGAATGAAACAAAAACACGGCGACTGAATATCAAACGAATCCGATGGTGTAGGCGATGAAGAGTAGTATGGAATTTATATAACTGCTCTTTATCCTAAAGTAAAACAGAGTGAAAAAGTTTCGTGTGCCCCAATTGAATTCAATCCTATATCGGCTAGTGGGTGTAACTGTCGCTGAAAAGAAAACATCAGTGTTTACTTTCATTATGTCGTTTTTGCGACAGAAAACTCACCAAATTTCTTCTCTTTCTCACTTTGCTGGATTCAGGGTTCGTCAAGTGTGAGAGATGAGAAATATTCTTGGGTTATTTGAAATTGAAATATTCTTGGGTTATTTGAAATTACTTTCCTTTGCGCTCTCTTTGCTTCGTTCCGTATAGCTTCGGTCTCATGTTTGAAGTCAGATGGTGTGGCTCTACGTTCTCTTCTCAGTCGCTTTGAAAAAGTTCCAACTCAAGTCAACAGTACGTGGATATCAGACACCAATCCTTGTGATAATTGGTTTGGTGTCTTTTGTGATGATTCAGGTCACATCCACACTCTTAATTTGAGTAAGGTTGGGCTTTCAGGCCAATTAAGACCAGAAATTGGGGAGCTTAAGAGCTTGGTGAGCTTGATGTTGGGCCAAAACCAGCTCAATTTATAGTTTTATTTCATATACCCCCCGCTTAATTGCTTACAAGTTACAAATATAATCATGATCGAAAATAGAAAACATAATTCCAAATAAAATGTGTTAATAGAAATGCTCACATTTTAAAAATAATAATTTACTTAAATTTTATATAATTTTTACTTATATTTTTATTAATTTTTACTTATATTTTTATATAATTTTATTAAAATTTATATATAAACATAATATATATTTATTTGATAATAATAATAATAATATTTGTAAAAAAAGTTAGTGTTGTTTATATAATTTTTATTAATAAATATGTTAAACGGATAATGAGAAATAACTAAATAAATTAAAGAAACATTGAGCTTGATGTTGGACCAAAACCAGCTTCAAGGCGAGATACCCCATGCAATGGGTAATCTAAAGAAGCTAAAATGGCTGGAGCTTTCTAGTAATAGGCTGTCCGGTGAGATTCTATCGGCATATGGAAGATTCAGAGTCTGGCACATATTATTGTGTATAACAACACTCTCACGGAAGAAGTACCAGTTGAAGTTACTGAGCTGAAGCATCTTAAGAGGCATATGTTGTATGACAACAGATTCCGGGGAGAGATACCTATGGGTTTGGGCGTTAATAGAAGGTTAGTAGCTGTAGATCTTATTAGTAACAGCTTTACTGGGGAGATACCTCCCAATCTCTGCCATGGACAGAAGTTGAAGTTTCTTACCTTGGGGTTCTAATCAGTTTCATGGTAAGATACACCCTTCCGTTGGTCAGTGTAAGACACTTGAGAGAGTCACCATGGGTGGAAACAATCACCCTGGGTGGAAACAAGCTTTCTGGTGTTTTACCGGAGTTTCTTAAGACGCATAATCTTGAGTTTATTGACTTCCAAGACAACAGCATTAAAGGATCCATCCCCCGAGGCTTGGGAAGCTGCTGCAAGAATCTCATGACAATCATCTTTTCTCGCAACAAACTCACGGGGGTTATACCTACAGAACTGGACAATCTGCAAAACCTGGGAAGGCTTTATCTTTCACATAACCACCTTAAAGGTCCTCTTCCATCAGCTATCTGGCTGTGGGAGAATTCTGGAATTCGATGTCGGTTCCAACTCATTGAACGGTTCTGTTCCGTCGAGCTTCAGAAGCTGGAAAGCTTGACCACTTTGGTACTCAGCGATAATCGGTTTTCATGATCTATCCCCTCTTTCTTGGCGAGCTAATAGATCTCCGGTTAGCTCTAAATGCTTTTGGAGGTGTGATTTGTAAGTGCAATGAGGTTAGAGTAAAAGTGCAGAAATAAATAAGACACAAATTTTCTCTTTTCGAATTCACTATAACAAGAAAGTTTTACACCAATTTTTTCTATTACAAGAATCCTTTAGGATTAGACTAATCCTAAGCTAAAACTCACCCTAGAGCCTAGATTTTGTTTATCAAGATCACCCAAACCTCGAGCCAAACTCCCCCTGAATTTAGATTTCAATCTTCCAACACTCTCTGGAAATACATGAACAACTACGTCAGCAACTAACGCAGAACACCAACACCAAAACTTGATCACACAAGCACAAAAGATCTCTCGATTTTTCTTTTTCTGAAGATACACATTTCTTCATAGAGGAACGTCCTCCTTGTATAGATACCAGAACCTGTTCCCCAAATTCTTCCAAAACAGCTTAAGCAACTTTTATTTTTCTCTTAAGTAATAACTCTCTTGGCTTTTTCTTTTTAAATAATACATTTATCTTTAATGTAAATATCCCAATAGATATATTGTTTCTTCTCCAAGCTTGACAAGTCCAAGGACCATCACAAACTACGAATTCCAACCAAGCCCATCTTTATGACACACACATGTACTACCTCATGTAAAACTTCATGAACTGATACAGAATATACATCTTCGAGATTCTTTTGTCCCTTGGCTTGTTAAGTCACCTGAACGGCTTAGACCTCAGTGGGAACGGACTCACAGGTGAGATTCCAACTGCTCTGGTGGGTCTTGTAAGTCTCGTACAGCTCAGCATATCCAACAATAAGCTGACAGGGACTTTATCGGTTTTTCAAAATCTCAGCTTATCAGAGCTGATTAAATAGTTGT